ATGATAATGAAGTTATTATTTACAAATCTCCAGAAAAGAAGAAAATACACAAGCGCATAAAAATGCAGACTAGAAACACCCAGGCAGTCACTGCAACTGAGTATGGTGGTTATTTCCTGTTAGCCTCCATCTCCCAGAAGGGTGAATACCCTCTTGCTGACCCTCACTAGGTTCTCTCACTTCTTTCTAAGAGTTCTTAGCAGGAGCAGGGCAATGAGTGAGCATTTGAATTCAGAAAGATGTGATCAATGTTGCTCACTTGAGACTATACACACCTTGGGTCACTAGTGTGCATGGTATACAGAGGGAAGGTCTTTGAGACTCATGACATCTGCAGGTGTAGATAGAGTTCATAGCATTCACACAGAATCCTGTCTGTTTGAGCTGGGCTATGGTTTCAGATATTAGACATGGGAGAGCAGTGACCTTCTCCTTTGAATGAGCTCCATGATTAGCACAGCACTGTAATTTGATTTTCTGAGGGCATGATGTGACAGAGTTCTCTCCTGGAAGGAAAAGGGGGAAGGCTAGGGGAAGATTGCCCTTGTTGTGACCTCAGATCTATTCATGACTGAAGTCTGAAGACTTTGTCTCTATTTTTCTCTAATCTTTTCATTTCATTCCCTCCCATATCTTCATCTCTCCATTTTCCTAAGAGTCCTATCCCTTACCTAAGCTGTCACCTCTTTGGCTCTCTCCACAGAGTATGTGCAGGATGTGGGTACCGGGCTGAACCTGGTGAGCTCTTTGCCTGCAATTAGGAATTCCAGTGGATCACTTGAGCTGACGACATAGGGGAAAAGCCATGTGAACCTGAGTTCTTATAAAAGTCCCCTATGAGGCAGCTAAAAGGTTGAGGGGAAATCAAGCTAGGAGAATCCAGCATTGGGCTGGCAGCTAAACACACATGCCACTTCATGGGACAGAACAGTTCCATCATAGAAAATGCCTAAGGAAACCAGAAAGATCAGGTTCTCCTAGGAGACAATGATTCCTAGCCAGCTCTGGAGGGAATATGATCTGAGGATTGAGTCGATTCCTGCCAAATAATTGGCCACTCCACATCCTGTCCTGGAAGTGTCACTGCCCTTCACACTCTGAGAGTCTAACTTCAGAGCCAGAACCAACACTTAGCTACCCATACCCTTGACAGCAAAGTTCATGGCATACAGTTTAGGGTCTCAGCAAGTGGTTGAGTCATTGATGGGGCTGCCTCACCTGATACATGTATTTCCAGGGGGTCACTGGGCATGGACAACTTCTGTGGATTTCTTTTGTAGAAGCCATAACATCTGTATGTCCCACTGTGGCTGGGGGTCATAGGACCCACATAAAAAATTGCTTGCAAATGCCCAGTGAAAATATACTGTGAGTCCAGGGTTCTGGAGAACTTGGGTTCTCCTTCCTTGGTCAGAATAAACCCATCGTATTCCTGCCATGAAATACATTGAAAGGTCATATTCTCTCCTGTGTTCACAGTGGGACTATCCAGGACTGACAATCTAGGTTTTCTGTAGGAATTTCCTAGGAGAGACAGAGAGAATGTGTTAATGAACTCACAACTTTCACACTGTCCCACAATGAAAGGCTGAGATAGAGGAGACACCCTTTTTCTAAGATTAAAGGTTGAGGCTGGAGATCCTAAATATGATTATCCATACCACCAGCAGCTGCAGGAGAGTCATTGTGCTCTGATAAACTATTATGAGTTTCATAATAACATGTAACTCTCAATGTTTCTGTACAATAGAGGAGTTTAGCCTTGCTCCCAGCCTCCATCAGAATCTTTTTGCATGGGCATTTCTGGGCTTCTCCTTTTATATTCATACTTATGAGTCCTTGAGGTCTCCTCACATGAGATAGTCACTTTCATACCTCTGTGGACCACAAAGCCTGGCTGAACTCTGAAGTTGACTTTGGAGTGTATCCTTGCAAGGAAATCAGAGGCTCTGTCCTAGATCCTCCCTACAAAGATCCCACTGTTCAGTCTCAGTATCTTCTTGGTTTCTCCAGGATTAATTTACTTCTGCTATTCTCCAACTCATTGCTCAGCTTTTAGCCATCCTCTGCTTCCAAAAGAGGTGTAAAGACCTGGGACATCAGGAAACACTCACCTGCCAGCACTGGAGACCTGAGTCCCAGAATCAGTCCTGAAAGAGAGTTCCTTGTGAGTTTCTCCCTCACTGAACAGACATCCCATCCCTACAGCCTCCTGAGTCCCCTAGACTTTGCTGAAGTTCAATCCATGCTAGACTATAAGGTTTAGCCTCTCCAAGACAATGGTATCTCCTAACCCTCTTCATATCTCACCCAGATAGAGCATGGCTGTGGAAGTGAAGATCATGGTGTGTCTTCACAGTAGCTCCAAATAAACAGGCAACACAGACAGTGTCAGTTTGTTGAAAGGTCAACATCCCCACAGAAAAGGGAAATGAGAGCAGCTGTCTTTCACCTCCCTGTCACTTTGACTTGGACAGACACCAAACTCTGAACTCACTTCTCATAGAAAGGTCACCTCCCCCAATACCATTCACTTCTGCCTAATGTGTTCTCAATGCAATGAGGGCCAACAAAAGCAACCCACAGAATTGGTGCCTCTCTTCCTTTACTGGCCACTTTCACTTGAGGATGGCTGAGGGAGAATCTTTCTCCTGTACAGCTGCACCATATGGTGTTCTTCAGTCTTTCCACCCATCTGTGTTCACTCCACCATAAGGTCTTCACCATGGCCACTAATCTAACTATCCTGGAGATATTTCATGAATATCCAGGTTGGGAATATAAGGCAAACATGAGTAGCAGAGACACAATGATCTACTGACCTTAGCTCACATGGGCCTTCATCCTGGGGATGAGCACAGAGGAGAACACAGAGAGCTGTGTGAGGAAATACAGCAGGTCTCGTGGTTGTGGGTGGGGGTTTTCTCTAAAGAACAGCCACCTGCATGGAACTACCTCTTTCCTTAGCAACGTCATCTTCCTTCATCCCTCTGGAAACAACCATCAGAGCTATTCTTGCCTCCTTGCTGTTTGTGTTTTCTGGGGCAGAATTCTTTGTGGTAGGATCGGGCATGATAAACTCTTTAATATCAATGTTTCTCATTCCCTGTGCCAGTTAGAATGCATGTCATCTCTGAGGTTCCTCATGTAAAGCAATTTGTGAACACTTCAATCCTTAGATTGGCCATATGTTATGGTACATGAGACGTTCAGAAATTCAGTCATCACTGATTCCCAGCCCAGGATACAACAGGTTTTTGACACATGAGATGTTCATGTTGTTGCATAATATAGGTGCCGACTGATTGTGTGTCAGTCTACTCTGAGAATTCACAGTTAGTGCATTATAATATGTATGAAATCTGCAAATCATCATGATCAAGGAAAGAAAATTAGAAACAAATTATCCCTGAATGAAGAAAAACCCATTTTACAAAACACAAAGCAGATTTGGGAGGACAGTGAATATAGGATTTACAGACGTTTCTCTCCATGTGGTGGAAGTCGGGTCAGTAATCCTGCTAAAGGCAATTATTTGTGATTCCAATCCCCATTCTTTAGCTGGTCAGTGAAATGTTCCAACTCATTGCCCACTAAGTTGCCTCCCTTATATGTGTATAACAGAGATTTACTCCAGTTTGCCACCCATGGGCATCTGACTCAAATGGGAGGGTATCACACTGCAAGCATTCCTGCCATGAACAACTCTGAGCAGATGATGCATTTGGAAGATAAGATGCTATCATGCAAGGATGTGCAGTCAGAACTTATTCCCAGGTCAGCCCATAGAGGAATTCCATGTGGAAAGTCAGGAGCAGAAGAAGGAGACAGAAATGGATAGCTAACAGTATGTCAGAGAAGAATAAGGAGTTAGAATTGAAGTAGGTAGGTGTTTATGGTGGTGCAAAGTAGTAAGTGGTATTTGTATGATTAAAAATTAATTATGGGTACTGAGTACATGACTGAGTGGTAAGAGTGCTTGGTGCACAAGTATGAAGATCTGAGTTTGATCTACTCAGATCTACTGCCTAGAGTTCATGTAAGGAGCTAGTCATAGCCACACAAGCCAATAAATCTAGTGTTGTTTAGAATAGGGATGGAAAGAGTGTTGAGGTTTCTAGCAACTGCCGGGAGCCAGCCCTAGCATAGTGGAGAATCTTCTTTCTTCTTGTCGTTCTTCTTGAGGCAGCAGAGGGGGAAGAATGTCAGCAGGTGGTAAGACTTTGTTTTATGAGATATTTAGAGTTGCTGTATAATAAAAGTTTGCTTATCTAAGTTACTGTGCTACCATAGATGATCTGCCTTCTGTGATGCTCTGAGGCCAGAAACTGCAGTTTCTTTCACTTATCACCTCATCCTAAAAACATCAAAGGATTAAGTAAATAGCCTTTGTACTATCTCAGAAGAAACTGCTGGGCTCTAACTTATGCCTGCTAGTCTGAGGTCGAAGGAATAAAAGACACTTAGAGATTTGGTTATAGTGTTTATTACAAAGTTGTTAAACATTTTCTATAAAAGCTATCTAATGGAAAAAATGAAAAGATCCTAAGCAGGGAAGGGGAAAAATTTGAAAAAGATAAAAATTCTTCTAAGGGAAAAAATTCTCCTAGGCAGGGAGAAAGGAAAGGAAGGGAAGAACCAACCTCTCTTTGTCTTTGTCTTCAGTACTTATACATCTTTCAGACTACATGATTACATGTTACAAGGTGCATCACAAGTTCATGCCAAAAATCAAATCATAAATTGAAATAGAAGTTTACAACAGAGAATGTTTACATGCATATCCATTAAGAGTAATTATCTGGCTGAACATCCATCACCTGTCTAGCTCCAAGTTTCACTGAAGGTTTAAAACTATAACTAAGTTTTTAGTGAAGTTTTGTATAGATAAACCCAGGCAATGTTTCATCTTCTGTCCTATCACCTAAAATAAATCACTAGTTCCCTTTTTAAGACCTTTGGCTAATTGTTTTACAACCTCTCAGAATGTGCTCTGAGTAGGAGAAAGTCTGGTTACTATCTAAGAGCAATTAACTGGTGACACTTGGGAGACTGGCAGAGTTCTCATCACAGTTTTGACTATCAGAAAAGGACCTAATAGCAGTCCTGTTATAAAAGAGCTTAATAATCATTGAAATAATTTTAGGAATTCTTATAGGAACATCATTAAGACTTAAGAAGTTGTCTATATGTCTATATAACATCACTACAAGACAGTATATCTTCATCTATCTGCAGAGATCTGCTCCAAAGGAGTGTGCTATAGTTTAGTGATTGTTATATCTGTTTAATAATAATAGAAAAAGCATATTAGTAGCAGGAATCTTTCCTAAAAATGAGTTCCTTACACCTTTGCTGAATAGGAATGCACCTGTCACAGATTATATAATAATCCAAGGCAGGCCTTTTCAGGATGATCACCTGCTAGTTATTAGCATGTCTCATTAAGGCTCATGACAGCCTATCACAAGAGAACTCCTACAGCTGATAAACAACTTCAGCAAAGTGGCTGGTTATAAAATCTACTCAAACAAATAAATAGCCTTCCTCTACTCAAAAATAAACAGACTGAGAAAAAATTAGGGAAATGACAACCTTTACAATAGTCACAAATAATATAAAATATCTTGGTGTGAATCTAACCAAGAAAGTGAAAGATCTGTATGACAAGAACTTCAAGTCCCTGAAGAAAGAAATTGAAGACCTCAGAAGATGGAAAGATCTCCCATGCTCATGGATCAGCAGGATTAACATAGAAAAAAATGGCCATCTTACATAAAGTAATCTACAGATTCAATGCAATCCCCAACAAAATTTCAACTCAATCCTTCACAGAAATAGAAGGAGCAATTCTCAAATTTATCTAGAATAACAAAAAACCCAGGATATCAAAAACCACTCTCAACAATAAAAGAACTTCTGGGAGAATCATCATCCCTGATCTCAAGTTATACTATAGAGCAATAGTGGTAAAAAAAGAAACACATGGTATTGGTACAGAGACAGGCAGGTAAATCAATGGAATAGAAGTGAAGACCCAGAAATGAACCTATACACCTGTGGTCACTTGATCTTTGCAAAGGAGCCAAAACTATCCAGTGGAAAAAAGATAACATTTTCAACAAATGGTGCTGGTTCAACTGGCAGTCTGCATGTAGATGAATGGAAATTGACCCATTCTTCATCAAAGGAAAAATCTACCAAGATAAACTCTCAATTCTGAACATCTTTGTTCCAAATGCAAGGGTGCCCACATTCATAAAAGAAACTTTACTAAAGTTCAAATCACACATTGCACCTCAACTAATAGTAGTGGGAGACTTCACCGCCCGACACTCAGCAATGGACAGATCACAAAAACAAAAACTAAAAAGAGACACAGTGAAACTAATAGAAGTTATGAACCAAATGGATTTAACAGATATCTATAGAACATTCCATCCTAAAACAAAAGAATATACCATCTTCTCAGTACCTCATTATACTTTCTCCAAAATTGACTATATAATTGGACACAAAACAGGCCTAAACAGATACAAGAAAATTGAAATAATCCCATGCATCCTATCAGATCACCATGGACTAAGGCTGGTCTTCAATAACAGAAAAAAAAAATCAGAAAGCCCACATGCATGTGGAAACTGAACAATGATCTACTCAATGATAACTTGGTCAAGGAAGAAATAAAAAAAAAGAAATTAAAGACTTTTTAGAATGTAATGAAAATGAAGACTCGTCATATCAAACCATATGGGACACAATGAAAGCAGTACTAAGAGGAAAACTCATAGCTCTAAGTGCTTACAAAAAGAAACTGGAAAGAGCACACACTAGCAGCTTAACAACACACCTGAAAGATCTAGAAGAAAAAGAAGTAAAATACACCCAAAAGCAATAGATGGCAGGAAATAATCAAACTCAGGGCTGAAATCAACCAAGTAGAAACAAAAAGAACTATACAAAGTATCAACAAATGCAGGAGCTGGTTCTTTGAGAAAATCAACAAGATAGGTAAACCCTTAGCCAGATTAACCAGAGGAGGCAGAGACAGTATCCAAATTAACAAAATCAGAATTGAAAAGGGAGACAAAACAACAGAAAAATGAGGAAATTTTAAAAATCATCAGATCCTACTACAAAGGCCTATAATCAACAAAACTAGAAAATCTGGATGAAATGGACAATTTTCTAGACAGATACTAGGTACCAAAGTTAAATCAAGATCAGGTAAACCATCTAAATAGTCTCACAACCCCTAAAGAAATAGCAGCAGTCATTAAAAGTCTCCCCACCAAAAAGAGACCAGGACCAGATTGTTATAGAGCAGAAACTATCAGACATTCAAAGAAGACCTAATACCAGTACTCTTAAAACTATTCCACAAAATAGAAACAGAAGGAACACTACCCA